GTTCATGTGGTTATCTTCTTTGCATTTAATCTTTTTTTATGCGAGGGGCTTAGATCGTGTTAATTAATTTGCTAGTTAAGAAAATTCCTGCAAAATCTTTACCAATTAAAAAAAATGTCCTGAAAAATCTTCACTAGTTATGTTGCACGTTATATGTTTCAGCTTTAGTTATGTTGCTAATTGTTGCTTGAAGTTGTATGCTAAAATTCCCATGTTTGAAGATGCTCCAACTCTTTTGCATGCGCGTGTGCGTATATTTATATATATATTCAAACGGTAAACTTTTTGTTATGTAACAGCAAAGTGAATTCTTCTTCCTCCACTAACATAGGCAATTGTGCCTTATTTTTTTCTTATTTTTTATTGAGTAAATACCCTTTTTCGTCCCTGGAAATATTTGCGAAGCACAATTTAGTCCCTCGGTTTAAAAAAGTCACATTTTAGTGTTTCATCTTTGAAAAAAAGGGCCACGTTCGTCCTTCCGTTAGTTGGCATCTAACGGCCCAACTAACGGTGCACTCGTGGACCGTTACTTTGCTGAGTCACTGTTAAGTATGCCAGCTTGGAAGTAAAACGACGCCGTTTTGAAGGTGCCTTATATCTTGTTGGAGTTTTGAACAGCTGAAGGTCCTATTTGGTCCCTGAAAAATTTATCGAGGCCCTATTTGGTCCTTAACACTAAAAAATCACCATTGCAGCAAACCTTTCAAACCACCATTGCAGCAAACCTTTTCTAGCTAAACAATGAAATTAAAATTTTATTATTAACTGAATGTGTTTAGCAGTTATCCCAAAATATGCATTTACCTTTGGACCAATCTGAACTCCATCTCTCGTTGCTGATGCAACAATTAAGATCTCAAGTAAGCAAATGCTTTCTAAATATAAGAAAGATCAAACTGAAACCAAAAAATATATTTCACTTATTGTGTCTTACTTGTGAGAATAGCACAAACATCTGAGAAAATAGTTTGGTTTTCACTTGTACAAGGGACATTGGCTGCATAATTTGCGGTGTAATAGTTAAGTCCTATGAAATCAAAAGATCCTTTAACCATCAAGGACTGCTCCCTTGAAAACTTTGGCAATCTTTCACCAGCATTATCAACCATTTCAGCAGGGTATGATCCTGAATTCAGTGGCTCCATAAACCTCGGAAGTCAGGAAATAATTTGAGTTAGGTCTGTTTATCCATTAGGCACGTTACCAGAAAAATATTATGATGTTTTATTAAGTCCATATAAACCATAACCACCGCAATTAATGTGATGCCAAAAGAAGAATAAGTAGGAAAAATTACCAATCATATAGGAAAGCAAGGGCTCTAGATGCTGCTTCTATATCTGCCTTTGACTGGGAAAGTGGCATTACCCATGGAGAGTTCAATGTTATCCCAACTTGTCCCTTTTGATAATTCTAAATGAAATAAAGTCACTCTTAGTTAAATTTATCTCTACCAATTTACCAACAACTAATTTGATGACTCTCCGTTCAATTTATTCTAATCTGTAGTGCATTACAAATATGGTTTATGTTGGAAAGCAATCTCATGATCATGTCATGTGAACAATCTCAATCATTTATTGACATATCAACAGTGGGGGTTGTAGTTAATTTTTCCTTTTTCAGCTTTCTGTTTGGCTATATATTGTGCACTGGTTGTTTGAATAAAATCAAAAGACTCAATCAATATATTCTCCATAATCTAATTATAGTTTATATAGTAACCTGGTACTTGTTCCTATAGACTTTGACAGCAGCTGCATGAGCAAGAATCTGGTGGTGAGTGACCATGTAGGGCTCAGTACTTGAATCCCCTGCACTGCAGTTCAAGGGCAACCACTTGGAGCATCTTCCTGGTGCAAATAATCCATTTGCATAACCCTGAGTAGTGAAGGTGAGTGGCTCATAAGTACTTTTAAATAGGACTTATGTTGGATGTCCTAGACGTTCAAAGGGGTTGGTTACTGCTTTATTGGGTAAGGTTGTATCCATATTGGCACTTCATATGTACTGTAGAAAGCTCGTTATATATTGTACAAGATTGTTGTAATCCTTTTTTTGGTTTCAGGTGGTTGTTGACAATGGGAAATCTGATCGAATAGCATAAGCCTTGGCCAATAGCATAAGCCTTGGTTTGCTGCAATGGTGATTTGAAAGGTTTGCTGCAATGGTGATTTTTTAGTGTTAAGGACCAAATAGGGCCTCGATAAATTTGTCAGGGACCAAATAGGACCTTCAGCTGTTCAAAACTCCAACAAGACATAAGGCACCTTCAAAACGGCGTCGTTTTACTTCCAAGCTGGCATACTTAACGGTGACTCAGCAAAGTAACGGTCCACGTGTGCACCGTTAGTTGGGCCGTTAGATGCCAACTAACGGAAGGACGAACATGGCCCTTTTTTTCAAAGATGAAACACTGAAATGTGACTTTTTTAAACCGAGGGACTAAATTGTGCTTCGCAAATATTTCCAGGGACGAAAAAGGGTATTTACTCTTTTTTATTTTATAAAATGGCGGGACCCATTATTTCTTTGTGTGAGCAGGAAATTTGACAATTCTTATGTAAAAGGAGGAAAGGAAATCCCATATTCAAATTTTAGGGGGCGCGATTGCCAACCCTAAGCCCTATGTTTAGTACATAGTATAGGATAAGGCCTGATAATATAATATCTAATTGTATAAAATTTGATTAAATTTTTATACTATCCAAGTTTGGCATGATATTGTATAAGATAATATATAAGATAATATCATGTAATGTTTGCTAATATACTGTATAATACTAGATACGTTAAAAATAAATATTTTTGTCAAAAATACCTTTTAATAATGAATTTACATAATTCTTCCAAATATTTCAGATGATATTATTTTTTATAGAAATATGTTGATCAGTGTGTCCAAAAAATATATTAATTTTTATAAAAATAAAAATCTCAAAAATTATATATTGAAAAATTATTTTTTATTTTAATATATTAATATATTAAATAATATATTAATTCTTGAGAATTGCATTGGTTAATATATCAACCCCTTATCAGGTCTAATCCTACCTTCCTAGGCCGGATTAAGTTATACATCATTTTGATGTATAAAGGGATCATGCTGTATAAGCTTATACTATACGATGGTCACACCAAACAACTAAAAATATCATAACGTATAATATAAATTTATACTATCACACTTTATACATCACACCAAACAAGCCCTTACGTCCACCTCCAGTGCATATATGATATCTTTCCAACTTAGCCACCTAGAAACCAGATTTGCCCATGCTCAAATCAATTTAGACATAATTATAACTTATTTTATATGTTTTATTTTTTTTTATCATCATATATTTTGAATGTCATTACATGTTTTAATAAAATTTTAAAATAAATGATATTAATAATAAGATCATATTATCTTTCTTTATAATTTCAAAAATTCCTGTAAGTTTCTTCAGAATCACTTACCCCCTTCTCCAAAAAATTTAATCATTTACACCCTTATTTAAAACTTTTTTATCACTTACCCCCTAACTTGATTTTCCATCCGAATTAAAGTTAACGGAGTTAGTCTTTTTAAAAAATATCAAAACTACCCTTAAAGAAAAGTAACACACAACACTGGATCTTATTGCTGGCAAGAGATAGTCATTGAGGAGTGAAGCCCTAATTGTTCTTACGCTCCACTGCCCCTGCTTCTGATTAGCCGGTAAATGCTTATATAATTCAGATTCTGAAGAAATACACAACACTCAAAGATTTGGACTGGTAAATCTCTATTCTATTCGGTTGTACTTGAGTGATTTGTATTCTCTCTATATAACATAATTAAAGTTTCATATCACAAACTTGATATGAAATCAATTGTATTCAAATATATAATATATATATATATATATATATATATATATATATATATATATATATATATATATATATATATATATATATATATATTGAATGAATCAAGAACTTGCAAATCAATTTGAACTCGCAAATGGTGTGGAACTCGCATAACTGAACTCGCAAATTCAACAATTCAACAATTCTTTTTTTTTTTGTTTTAAGAGTAGTTTTGATATTTTTTAAAAAGACTAACTCCGTTAACTTCAACTTGGATGGAAAATCAAGTTAAGAGGGTAAGTAATAAAAAAAATTTAAGTAGGAGTGTATTTGAGGAGGAGTGTAAGTGATTCTGAAAAAACTTACAGCAAATTTTTTGAATTTTTTCCTAAAATAAAATACGCGGAATTGTTTATTAAAATAATTTTTTTTTGTCAAATAAGTATAAGTTTACGATTTTCTATGTAAAATTTTTGTAACAAAAACCAAAACTGGCGTGAACATGTAATACCCTGCAAGCCACGAGGTTACATAAAATCACACGTTGGTGACACCAAAAGTCGCCTAGATATATGTTTGCTCAATCCGTTCATTTCCAAGGCCCCGTTATATGTGGAGACGAGTATAAGATATACAAAAACCAAAAAAATAAAATAAAAAAATTAATGATATAAATAAATAGATAATGTGACTCCAATTCAACGGGTTACTAACATTTTCCAAGAACAGCCTGACATCTTTCTTTACTTTCCACTTCAAGTACCTCATGCACCTTAATTAATTATAGATACTCTTGTGCTTGTTTCTGTTTAGGGCTATTTTAGTATTTTTCTCTAAACAGGTCTCTTTGTATTCCTTTACTTAAATACCACATTTATCCTAAATTTATTACCCATACTAGTAGACTAATAATAGGTTAGTTTAGGGGGCGGCTGATGTATTAGTGATTTTAATTTTTTGACATTTTTGTTTAGGTGAAGTTGCATTTTATTATTACAACTCATGATAATCTTTTGTTATTCTCTTGTCACTTTCATCAATCATGGATATGTAAGTTTGGTTTGGCTGTTGAACAAACTAAAGAGAAAAAGTGAACGATATTGCTTGTGCTAGCTACTGACTGAGCAAAAAGTGACCAGTAAGGAACGAAGACGATGGAGAAGCATGCCAGCTTGTTAGATATTGTATTCTCTTGGACTATCAACGATGTTCTCAACGAAAATCTTTTCAAACACAAGGTTGTTTTCCACTTTTTAATACTCTAACGTGAAACCACATTAATTGTACCAGTTTTCTTATATGCCTCAAAATGCTTTATTAATTTTTCTGATTTGATAAGTGAACTAAAATATATTTGTAGTACTTATTGTTTACATATAATTAATCAGAAGATCACTGTAATGGTAGCTTGAAACATTGTTTTTTTTCCCAGGTGCAGAAGATCCCTCAGACATTCTTGTCAACGAAACATTACATGAAGTCTTTCATTCCTTCATTGATTGAAGAAACACACAGTGATCTGTTTTCAAGCTTGATAGGAGTGTCTCAAGCTCCTTATTGTGAAATCTTGACAATTGAAAGATCCAGGGACTTCAGACCTCCCAAGGACTTGCTCTACCAGATTACATTGAAGAGCACTACTGATGCTGTGAAAGAGGTTGGAAAGTATGAACCTGAGGTTGGTGATCTCATTGCATTCACAAATATTAGACCGAGAAGCATACATGACTTGAACAGGCCCAAAAGATACTACCATATAGCTTATGTTCATAGTTCAAAAGATGTAATCACTGACGAGATCCCTGTACTATCATCCAAGTACATGGAGATGGATATGAAATCTCACTTAAGCAATAACAAAGCACAAAAGCTTTATGCCGTCTATCTTTTGAACATGACAACAAATGTTCGTATTTGGAAAGCCTTGAAATCACAGTTCGAGGGTGCAAACATGAACATTATTAAAACAGTGCTGCAAGCTGATTCAACGGTAAGAATCATCAAATCATTTATTCGTGATAAGCTTTTCTGCTATTTAAGAACATGTTGTAATAATTCTATCTACGTACTAATTAACATTTTACAAACATGAACATTTTTTGCATTGTCTTTAGCAAATGACAAGATACAATTTATGCTTGGTTTAAATCCTTGTAAAACTGGGCCTTCCTTCAATATTACCTAGGAAACACGTTTCATGTTTTCTTTATATTTTACAGAGCGGAGAAAAATGCCACATTTGCTTGTCTGAAGAAAATCACAGTCGAGCCTATTTTAGCGTACAAAAGATAATCCGTGCTCAGAATCTGAACGAATCGCAGAAAGATGCGATTTTAAGCTGTGTTACTATGAGGAAATGTCATCATAATGACACTATAAAAATTATATGGGGACCACCAGGAACTGGCAAAACAAAAACGGTTGCTTCCATGTTGTTTTCCCTGCTAAAGTTGAAAACCAGAACGTTGACATGTGCTCCCACTAATACTGCAGTGTTGGCAGTGGCTGCTCGTCTTCACGGTATAGTTAAAGATTCACTTGAGTTTGATAAATATGGCCTTGGTGACATTGTGCTATTTGGCAATAGTTCTAGAATGAAAATTGATTGTCATCGTGGTCTTGAGGATGTCTTTCTTGATTATCGAGTGGATCTTCTGTTGAAATGTTTTTCTCCTTTGACGGGATGGAAACATTACTTGGAATCAATGATCATGTTGCTAAGGGATCCCAAAAAGCAATATGACCTATACAAGCGTGGTTTGGGAGAGGATCTTATGTCATTAGAAGAATTTGTTAAGCGAAGTTACATAAATGTAGAATGTGCATATCGTACGTTCAAGAAACGTGGTAAGAAATATGGTCCTATGACATTGGAGCAATTTCTGAAGAAGAAATATGTTTATATTGTAGAACAATATGATATTTACAAGCATGATGAAAAGATGAGTAATGGTATGACAATAGAGCAATTTGTAAAGCAGAGATTCAGTTTCGTTGGGGAGAAGCTCAAGTTATTCATGCGAACCTTATATGCGCACTTACCAACATATCTCATTCCATTTATGGTGGTGAAGAACATGTTTAGAGCTCTGGACTTGCTGAAATCTCTTGAAATTTCCTTGCGTCAAACCAAGTCCAAGCATGCTCTCCATGGTTGTGAAGATGGACAAGGCATTCTTGACTGCTTGGGATGGTTAAGCATCGAAAGAGAAGAGTGCCTTCGCACCCTAAGTTCGTTTTCTCAGTCAATTTCACTTCCCAACCTCAGAACCAAAAGTTCCATATCAGAATTTTGCTTGATGAATGCGCGCCTTGTTTTTTGCACAGCATCAAGTTCCTCTAAATTGTACGCTGAAGGAATGAAAAATGTGCGATTTTTAGTAATTGATGAAGCAGCCCAGCTAAAAGAATGTGAATCAACCATTCCATTGCAGCTACCAGGCCTCCAGCGTTGTATCCTCATAGGTGATGAGAGACAACTTCCTGCATTGGTCAAAAGCAAGGTACTTATAGTTATAGGAGTTAGTCTTTTGCTTTTTCTTTATGTGATTTTGATTGTGACTACCAAAGATTGTTGTCTAATAAGTCTGAAGTGATAAAATTTTAGATTGCTGACAAGGCTGAATTTGGAAGAAGTTTGTTTGAGAGGTTGGTATCGTTGGGGCACGAGAGGCACATGCTTGATATTCAATATAGAATGCATCCATCCATTAGTATATTCCCAAGTAAGGAGTTCTATGGTGAGCAACTTTCTGATGCCCCCATTGTAAGAGAAATAAGCTATAATAAGCGTTTCCTTGATGGTAAAATGTATGCTTCCTATTCTTTTATAAACATATCTAAGGGTAAAGAGCAGCTTAATCATGAAAACAGTTTGAAGAACATGGTTGAGGCTGCTGCTATCTCCCAGATTATTGGAAGCATTAGAAAAGGTTAATTACTTTCTCTTCCAACATCTCGTGTGTGTTAATCATGTCCTGCATTGACAGTTCTTAAGCAAAGAAATCTTTAGCTATACGTTATATTTATAATATACCATATAAATTAACATGATCCTTTTTTTTTTGCTAGAGTTTGTGAGGACAAGGAAGAAAACCAGCATAGGAATCATATCTCCATATAAGGCTCAAGTTTATGAAATCCAGGAGAAAGTTAAGCAGTACTGTTCGGTTTCTGATCCTAACTTCTCTATTAGTGTTCGGTCTGTCGATGGATTTCAAGGTGGCGAAGAAGATATCATAATAATCTCTCTTGTGAGATCTAATGGGAGAGGGAAAGTGGGTTTTCTTTCGGATAGACGAAGAGCAAATGTGGCTCTGACTAGAGCTAGGTATGTTACTTGTTTATTCATTACTTTTACTTGAATGGAAATTAACGGGTTTATTTTGTGCAGATATTGTCTTTGGATAATAGGAAATGCAGCAACTTTAAGGAATAGTGACTCTGTATGGAGAAAAGTAGTTGTTGATGCAAAGAAAAGAGATTGTTTCCATAATGCTGATGATGATAAGGGATTGGCTCGGGCTATTGGGGATGCCTTGCTTGAGCTTGAACTACTAGACGAGTATGAGACCCCATTTAAGAAACTCAGTCTAGGGAACAAGCCAGAGACAGCTGCTACATCATCCAGGTAGTTAATTGGAGACATAATTCTTCCTATGTTGCTACGATCGACATGTTGGGGGGAAGAAGAAGCAAGCAACTTTTCAAGTTTGAAATTCCTTACTTATTATTAGGAACTTAAATTTGCATATGGTAGTTATATGAATATATCACTTTGTTGAACTTGGGAGAATTTCATTTTATCCATCTAATTTTGTGAACGTTTTCCATTTATGGCGCTGTTACTTCTTCTTTTTTCTTACAAAAGAAAATGCATGAATAATAGGAGAGAGAAAAAACTTGAGTCGCTAAAGATTTTCTTACAAGCGTACAATTGATTTTCTTATAGTCATTGTGGCTTCTGTTTGGCAAGAGACGACTTCAAAATTAAAGGCATCATGCCCGTTGATGTTCCTTCTAATAGACCTTTTGTTTGTGTAAAATCTAAAAAGTGGCTTTAATTAGAAGGAAGAGAATATTTGAGATGCAAAAGTTTTGATATACAGTCATTTCTGAAGTTAGCCAAATCATTGTAAGTAAATCTCTTGGCGCATATAATTCTTTGTATATGAGTTCTCCTTTTAAATTTAATTTAATTAAAATAATGCTCACTTTTATGGCTGAAAATGCAAAAAGGGAAGAATCCTAATTTCAAATGCCATTTCATATTCTTACTTTTGGCAAGCGTTTCATTGTTGGAAATGACAATTTTATTTCCATTTATATTGATAAAAAGTAAGTAGGATTCATTTGGTATTAATGATAAAAGAGTTGCTAAAGTGACTCGAGTTAGGTGGCAATGTTTTTCCTCTTTACAGGAGTAGTGACAAAAAAATTTAGCAGAGCTTTTTAGCTTTATTTCTGGTTCTTTCACAGCAGTATAGTGACAAAATTTTCTAATGATTATCGATGTGTTTATCCGTAGAGCTTTTTAGCTTTATTTTTGGTTTTTTTTCTTTAGTAATATATAAGCCATATATCACACACTTTTACTCGAATCGTCGATTTCTGTTGGGTTAGTGAGAAGGCGAAGCTAAGTAAATCTGGAAAGAAATAGAAGGAAAAAAACACACATAGAACACTTTAGCAAACACATGGCAGACTAATAATGAAAAAACAACTCTTTTAAACTTTTCATGTTATCGTTTTTTTTTTTTTTTCTCTTTGAATTCCTAGCCACTTAACATTCATACCTTCTACACACACGAAGTAATGCCAAGGAACATTACAATTCTTGTTGTTGCGGCCATGGCTGCTTTTCTAATTGGTGAGCTTTTCATTTGTCGGCTCATGTTCATCTTATGGAGAAGAAGAAGTGATTCAGCAAGTGCCGCTTATTTTGATATTGAGAGCGAGCGCGAAGTTGCACCATCATCGACCCATGAGATCAGTGATAACTTCCTCACAAAATCAGGTTAGTGGTGGTGGAGATGTTATTAATATTGATTTTGATCCCATTAAAAGGGTTGAAGACTCTGTTTCCTCCCTATCCTTTGCAACCTTTGCTTTTGAGACCAGTGATATTGTTGGGCCATGGGGTAAATCTGTTGTTGTACCATCGACCCATGAGAGTTCAAGTTGATCTTGGAACAGATCCTCATCTTCACAGAATCACGTTTGCCTTAGAGATCTTACACCAGTCATTAATGTTGATTCTGATCTCCTTAAAAGGGATTCCTCCCTCTCCTTTCCAAGCGGAGCCAGAATTTATTTAATTTTAGTCGAGTTCAAAAAATTTGACATATTAAAATATTTTTTATAATTACACATACTTTTTATTTTTTTAATAATATAATATATTTATGATATATATAATTCATTTAAAAACATATTCTGAAATCATAACTTGTTACATTAATTTTCAAAGTAATAAGATTAATATTATATTAATAAATAATAAATATTTATTTAAAATTTAAAATATAATATAAAATTCAATTAATAAAGAAAGTGCAAATTATATGTATATATACATATATGAAATTTTAATGTGATTTTTATGAACATTTTGATGTAATCTTTATGAACTTTATTTCATGTGAAGTTAATGAAAATTTATTTCATGTGATTTTTGTGAATAATTTTTTTTATCTTTTACATTTCAATTTGGTTTGGGCCTATAAACTTTAAGGGGTGTATTAAATTATGATTTTAAAAAAAAATTAAGATAAAAAATCTTATAAATTTTAATAAAATTTATAAGATTTGAAAGGACAATATGGATTTATACGATTTTAAAAAACCATATAAATTTTTAACAAATATTCAAAATTACAAGAGTCAATAAAATTAATAATGAATAAATGCAATGATATTAATAAAAAAGTAAAACCTAATATAATTTTTTCAATCAGTAAAACTTAATATAATTTTTAACAAACATTCAAAATTACTACGCATAAGCTCTTCACATATCTAAAACTATATTAGCCTTCACGCATCAGCGTCTTCTTATTCCTGATCTTGGGTTTGACTAATGAGTTAAAAATTATCTTCTTCATTAACAGATGATACTGAAGATGAAGATGCATCTACTGATTCAATTAAAAATTTATCTGAACGACATTCTTTGCGAAGAAAGTTATGTAGTGCTACACATGAGGTGATACCGAAGATGAAGATGCATCTACTGATTCAATTGAAAATTTATCTGAACGACATTCTTTGCAAAAAAGTTATATAGTGCTACACATGCTAACTAGCACAAGCTCTGCTTGTGTTTTAAATGGAAATGGAGGTGCTCACTTAAAAATTGTGAACCGTGATTTAAATATGCCAAATATCCTCTCAGTTACATTTTTCAATGATGCATGACAAAGATTGAACACAAAGAATATTAGGAATTTTAATAGAGCTTGCCACTGGATTATTAAGATTTTTAATATGTATCATTGTCAAACACGAAGAATATTAGGATTTTATGCTCATTATAATCCAAACAATATACAAAAGAAGAAGGTCGACAAAGAAAGTATGTGGTAAGCTTATTAGTTCAATTTTAGAGATTAGATACATGTTTATCGTCAACTCTATACACCTCTGGTAAAAAATAAATGAAGCACATCATTAATCATGAAGGAAGAATACCAAAACCTGGTAAATACATACGACAAATGTAACACCATGTATATATCCGGTAAAATTATCATATCATCGTATTAAGCTGCGCTTAATTAAAATTGCGGAATATCTTTTTCTTTTCAATTATGACGTCATTATACTTAGCCAAGTTGAATACTTAGTTCATTTTCAAAACATTGTCTGTATGTAAATTGCAAAAGACAGCTAACTGAAATACCTCATTAATTAAAATAACCGATATATGTCTCTAGTCACGGAACTACAACACGTAGACCGAACCAACTAGCAGTTTATACAACTCAAGCTAAAAGTACTAACAATATAGTGGCATGGACAACTCCCATGCTCACCCAAATAAGGCAACAAAGCCCAACAAGTCTCAACATAGCAACAATATAATATGCAGGAAACATAAATAGCATCCAAATCCAGTCATGCCAGCATATAAACAGTAATATCATCAACTAAGCTCAGGCATTCTTAACCTACTCAATTTTACAAGAATTATCATATTTTTATTATATTTTTCGAAGCACCTTTCTAATACGCGCTTTTCCATAGCCAGTATCAGTTTCTGGCATCAGTTCTCATTATTTTAACTTGAAACTCGTTTTACAAGTCCTATATATTATTCTAGAAATTATCATGTACTTTTTATAATTTTCCGGAATACTTTTTCGGTACGCATTTATACCGACTAGCAGAACTGGTATCTGCACTTTTCGTCAGAAAATCGACTTTCAACATTATAACTCACTTACTATAATTATTAGAGACTCATAATAATTATTAGGGTCAATTATGGAATTATTTCCTAATTTCACGCATTTAATTAATTAACTTCCTTAATTAATGATGCGGGTTCTTACAACAAACATAATCATTAATCATGAAGAGGAATACCCAAACCTGAGAAAATATATGAGAGTCAAAAAAGAACATACCTTGGCTTTGAGAAAATACTAGAGTAGATTGTGAGACACTGCAGTAGAGAAATCTCAAGAAATCCTAGGGGTTAGGGTGAGATTGTGAGAGAGACATCTTATTTATATTTCTCACTAAAAAGTCTCACGAAATCCACACCAATGGAAAATCCATTAAAATCGTCAGATTTTTTGAATACCACAATATCGTTTTTCCTTTGTTTAAAATCCTGATTGAATAGTAACGGATTTGGACTAAGTCTAAATTAATATTTTAAAATTCTAATTGAATACCACATGGCTTTTTTTTCAATCCTTAAAATTCTAATTTAATACCAATGAATTTTTTTGTCCAAAATAATCCACTAAAATCCTAATCCAGTACACCCCTTGATTTGCAACTTGGTAGGCCTTACAGGCTGCATTAGGTTTTTTCATTTTTTATAATAGGTCAGGTCAAACCAATAAATCAAGTCTTTAATATGCTAATAAGTCAGTATAGGCTCTAAATATTTTAGATAAGTTTAGGCTATTAAAGCCAAAGCCTGAAGGCTTAACCTGTCCTATTTACACTCTTAGTCGTAACATGTGAAGAACATGAACATAGAGGGACAGAGCAAACTTCACAATTAAAAAGAAACATGGAACAATCAGCGATAAATGTCTAAAATCATTTAAATGACATTGGATCCACATAAATCATTTAATCAATATTTTAATATTTAAAAAAAAAATTAAAAAAAAACAAAGAATTTATTAATGGGTATGTACAAGAAATTTTCATACTACATATATATACATATATCTTCATTAAATTTTCTCTTTAATAGTTTTCACTGATTAATCGCCAAAAATTTTATTCCTGTTGTGAAATCAAATACAAATAACACCAAGAAACAATTTAATTTCATTACCAATAACAACAGTAGCTCTACATTTAACTAATTTTAAAAATAAAAAATAAACGTAAAACAACACTCAATTTTTCAAAAGAAATAAAATCAATAAAACAACCACGCACAAAAATT